AAAAAAACTTAAGAAAAACAAAACTTAATCCCAACCCCCAACAAAAGTTAAAAAAAAAAAAAAAAGTAAACATTCAGTGTCATAGGAGACTCCATTTGCAATGCTGACTACTAACCTCTTTTACAGCTCTGCACTCCAGCTTCCCATCCTGCTGATAATGTCTGAGTGCTCTCTCCTTTGGCACCAGCTGGAAGTTCAAGCCACATGTAGGTCACACCCCAGTCACACATCTTTGCTCTCTCAAGCCTTGTTTGGACCAGTTTTGAAGTCTTCCCTCCTTTCCCCAGAACACCTCATTATGCCACAAACATTCTCTTAACACTTAAGTGTATAATACCTTCATTCCTGTTATTCAAACCAAACTTCAGGTGAAGTTTAACCCAGTTCCAGTAAAGTGGTCACAAGTTCAAATTACGCAAAATGTTTTGAAGGTGAATATGACATTTCTAGTTTATCTAACAAAACAGGCAAAATTCTCTTTCTGTATGTCCAATCTTAAGAGGACATTCATAAATATTTTTTCAAATTATTTCACTGAGCACTCCAAGGACAAAAAAAGATATGTTAATTTTATCTTTATTCACTACATTTTTTAAATTTCAAAATATTTTTTATTTTTTTACTATATTTTCCCCTAAATCAGTGGGCATGCCATGTTTTATTTGGTACACGAAGAAGAGGCATGTAGAAATACAATACAGTGCATATCATAAAAAATGATGCAGGTTTTAAGGTGTAAGTGTTCAAAGTTGCACTACTATTGGATTTTCATAATACCCTCATAAGTATCCTAGGGCACAGTGTGGAGAAAATAACTCAAGCATACTGCAGGAGTATATGTTCCCAAAACTATATGTCATTTGATTCCATCAAGAAAAAAAAATTGTTATAGATCTTTCAACCTTAAGTGCCTATTGGTGCATTGTTATTGTTGGTTATGAAGTGTCCTACTAGGTAGGATAAAACCACGTCGGTAGAAAGAATATGATTCATTCATAACTCTAAAAAATTAAATTTTATTAAAACATCAAACCTATGAACAACTACGAATAAAACAGTAGCAAAATATAATACCATCAGTTAAATGTGAATCCTACTGAAAATGCTAATTCTCGTTGTTTTGATAACACACTCCACCTTGATAACTGTTGTCTTTGCAATTTCAAAAATAAGACTGCTTCACCACTCTTTAGTATACAACAGCTATTGCCTTTCAATGAAGAGGCCACCATTTCCCCTGCATTATTTCTACCACATATTCAGTCCCCAATAAAATATCATCCTATTCCTATAAAAATCCGAATCTCCTAAGGTGTTGGCAGGCTGTATTTCATGATGAGCTGGTAGAGCTTTCCTTTCCTATTACTCAAGGTGCCCATGTGTCAGAAGAAGGGCACCCTGAGCACAATGGGCATAATGATTCACAACATAGTTTTACACTTCTCCATGCCCTCTAATTCAGAAAATATCAAATTTTAAAAAGGCAGAGCCCTTTTCTTCAAAGAACTTAGACAGAAATGACCTTCACCTAATAAAGCAGGACCATTCAGCCTACTGATTTTTACCCAGGGACACCATGAAAGGCATGCAAGGATGCATATCAACAAATTTCAAAGTTCAGGTTGAAAGTCATAAATAATAGCCTATTCAAGAAACCTCAAATAATGGAATAAAGTATTCTATAACCTCAAGGGAACCAGCCATTTCCAAATGTCTTGGTACCTTGGGTACATATCATGTCATGAGTTTTAACATATTTTGACTTAATGTTGGAGATCAAGAGACTGAGTTATTCCTCATGTAAAATCCTCTGATGTACAATGTTGACCCTTGCTTAATAGCCTCAGTACTTACATTTGTGTTGTTTCATCAAAAATATATTTTGGTGTCTAGTGAGTTGTAAAACCTGGAGAAAGACACATACATCTCAGTTTTATGATTTCTCTTTAGTATAAACTCTACAATCTCAGTTAACTCATGATAAATTGCCATAGTCATTGTGCTTGTAAGGATGATTTCAAGAATGTATTCTCTGATGTTGTGTGAGGAGTGAACTGTGCTTGAAGACCTTGTCACACTCATGGCATTTATAAGGTTTTTCTTCAGTATGAATTATCTGATGGGTACCTAGACTTGAACGAATACTAAAGGCTTTGCCACACTCATTACACTTGTAAGGTTTTTCTCCCGTATGAGTTCTCCGATGACTTGCAAGGCTCGAAGTCTGATTGAAGACCTTGCCACATTCATTACATTTGTAAGGTTTTTCTCCAGTATGAATTCGACAATGACCTGCCAGGTGTGACCTTTGACTGAATTCCTTACCACATTCATTACATTTATAAGGTTTTTCTCCAGTATGGATTACTTGATGGGTACTTAGGGTTGAAGATGCACTAAATGCTTTGCCACATTCATTACACTTGTAAGGTTTCTCTCCAGTATGAATTCTTTGATGAATTGTAAGGTGTGCATTTTGACGGAAGACCTTTCCACATTCACTACATTTGTAAGGTTTTTCTCCAGTATGGATTGCCTGATGGGTAGTTAGGCTTGAATGTGTATAAAAGGCTTTGCCACACTCATTACACTTGTAAGGTTTCTCTCCAGTATGAACTCTGCGATGACCTGTGAGGCTTGAGGTTTGACTGAAGACCTTGCCACACTCATTACATTTGTAAGGTTTCTCTCCAGTATGAATTCTCCGATGACTTGCCAGGTGTGACCTTTGACTGAAGACCTTGCCACATTCATCACATTTGTAAGGTTTCTCTCCAGTATGAATTGTCTGATGGTTAGTTAGAACTGAACTATCACTAAAGGCTTTGCCACACGCATTACACTTGTAAGGTTTCTCTCCTGTATGAATTCTCTGATGAACTGCAAGGTGTGCATTTTTACGAAAGACCTTGCCACACTCATCGCACTTGTAAGGTTTTTCTCCAGTATGAATTCTCCGATGACTTGCAAGGCTTGACCTTTGACTGAACACCTTGCCACATTCATTACATTTGTAAGATTTTTCTCCATTATGGATTACTTGATGTTTAGTAAGATTTAAACTATCACTAAAGCTTTTGCCACATGTATTACATTTGTAAGGCTTTTCTCCAGTATGAATTCTCCAATGACCTGCCAGGTATGACCTGTGACTGAAGTCTAGACCTTGCCACATTCATCACATTTGTAAGGCTTCTCTCCAGTATGAATTGTCTGATGGTTAGTTAGAACTGAACTATCACTAAAGGCTTTGCCACACTCCTTACACTTGTAAGGTTTCTCTCCTGTATGAATTCTCTGATGAACTGCAAGGTGTGCATTTTTACGAAAGACCTTGCCACACTCATTACATTTGTAAGGTTTCTCTCCAGTATGAATTCTCCGATGACTTGCAAGGCTCGACCTTTGACTGAAGACCTTGCCACATTCATCACATTTGTAAGGTTTCTCTCCAGTATGAATTGTCTGATGGTTAGTTAGAACTGAACTATCACTAAAGGCTTTGCCACACGCATTACACTTGTAAGGTTTCTCTCCTGTATGAATTCTCTGATGAACTGCAAGGTGTGTATTTTTACGGAAGACCTTGCCACATTCACTACACTTATATGGTTTCTCTCCAGTGTGAATTCTGTGATGACTTGCAAGGGTTGACGTTTGACTGAAGACCTTGCCACATTCATTACATTTGTAAGATTTTTCTCTATTATGAATTACTTGATGTTTAGTAAGTGTTAAACTATCACTAAAGGCTTTGCCACACTTATTACATTTGCAAAGTTTTTCCTTAATGTGTATTTTCTGATCTTGAGTTAGTGAGGAAGAAAAGATAAAATCAGTTCCATATTTATTAGAAATAAGAATTTCGACACTTGAAGGTTTTCTTTGGGGTGGAGAAACTGAGAATCTGTTGTTGATAGCTTTCTGAATTCCATTATGGTTATAAATTTTCTGTTTGGCTTGAAATAGCTGCTGTTGAGGCAGATGCGAGTGAAAGTTTAATCCAAAGTGATTTTTAATAGGTTTGTTTTCTGCTTCCCTTCTATCATATTTATCTGTTCTACCAATAAGATTTTCTTTTTTTATCATGGGCACTCCATTGTAATATCTGTCATCATCTCTCCACTGACACTCAAAGTCATGCATATTTCTCTGGATTTTTCTGAAGCAAAAATCTTCACCGTTACGGCTGTCATGTCTTTCCAAAATCACTTTGTGAAATACTTCTCCTGTATTACTTTTCCCTTTTGGTGATAATACCATGTTCACACATTTAGGAGAGATATCTACAAGATATAAAGAACCATAGGTTTCCAATTAATTGCACATGGTAAATAAAAATTTCATACTAAAATACATAATATTATACAAACGGTAATACTTATACTGAATGGAGTTATACAACTTCCTAACTATGATGTTTGATTTTTAGGAATACAATGGGAATAGCAGTCTTTAATAAAGAAAAGGTGATTACATGTAATTCAAATTAATTCTAGAAAAGCCTAGTTTCAAACAGCCTATAACCAAAACATTCACACTGCCCAAAAATGTTAGCTCTGAAAAAAAAATATTTTTCACTGTGATCCCAAAGTATACACCAATTGGCAGAAAAGATACTGCAATCTCATAATTGAAAAGAAAAAAAATTATATTACATATTTACAGCATATTTACTGAGCACAAATAAATGATAATGCATATACAATGTATATAATGGTATATAAATAACTACAAACTTACGTAATAAATAGTAATTGCTAATTGCAAAATAACAGCACTGAGAAAATGAGAATAAAGTAATAAATAAAACATTGTCAAAAAATGCAATATTTTTCTGAATACCTGTTATGAAACTTTCAATACCCACACAGTCCAGACATTTTGTGATATTAACAAGTGGTGCTTGTTAATTATAATGAATAATACATGCTAAAAAACCATCACCTGAACATTATACTGAAAATTAGTAAAACTGTAATAATACATGATAAATCCAGCAAGTACTTAGTAACCATATTGATACAAAACTGTCATATGTTGAGCTCCAAATAATTCTCTTTAAAAAAAAAGCTGGACTTCTATTTCAGAAACAAAGCAGCACATATATTCTAATATGAGAACTGGAATATATGTTAAGATCACTGAATTACAATGTATGAGGTCAGGTATATACATAGCATTATAAAGAACAAGATGGGGTAACAAAGTCAGAAATCATGATCATGATTTCAGGCTGGAAGTTATGTAAACAGTCAATATAGCAATTCACTACATATGCATTCACCTTAAATAATCTAGTTCACTGGCCATAATATATATAATAGAGTTTTAACTTAGAAAATTTATGAACTGAGGTCAGAGAAAACATGGTTTAAAACAAACTGAAAAATAAAAACAAATAAAATACAATGCAGGGCCTATGGTCTGAGTGTTCTTATTGACCAAAATTCATACACTGAGGTCTAATTCTCCAATGGATGTAATATTGCAGGTGGAGACTTTTGGAGATAATTAAGTCATGATAGTCAACTGCTCACACTCAGGAGTGTTGTCATTATTAGAAGACACACCAAAAAGCTTGATTACTCTCCTTCTTCGCCATGTCAGGACACAGCCAGAAGATGGCTTGGCTAAACTAGGAAGGGGGCTCTTACCAGGAACCAATTCAGCTGGCACCTTGATCTTGGACTTACCAGATTCCAGATTTGTGAGAAATCAATTTCTGTGGTTTAAGCCTCCTGGTCTATGGTATTTCTGATGGCACAATGTGTTGAATAAGACAGGTAAAGGACTTCTCACCATAAACATTATAGAACATTGATGAATCTTATTAAACAAATAATCCTTTAAGCCTTTTCTATAAAACCTGCAATATGATAAGCTATCTAACAGCACTAAATTGTTTTAAGAACCTTGACATAAGTTATCATTATTTTTCAAATCAGGACAGCAGGCTTACCATGTTCATGTATCTAACCCCAATTTGCACAGAAAATAAGTCAGAGAAACAGGATGTGACCCTAGAGGGTCAGAAAATATGCTCTTAAGTACAACTGTCTATCAGGCAGCACAGAAAACAACCAGTAATAGCAAACACAAGGAGCACGGGAAGAAATACTTCAAGGGAGATACAAGATCTGAGCCACGTTGCTAACAGTATTACTCAGCCATCACTCACAGATGATGGTATCTGAGATAACCCCCTGCACATATAAATTTAGGAAGTGTCCTGAAAAATTTTCCACTGTATGAGTAGGGTTTTGCCTTACATAGTGAGGCTAAAGTGGGGCATGAGAAAGTCTTGTGGAAATTCAGGTGTTCAGGGGTAAAAAAAAATCAGTATGCTAGGAAGTAACCATATGTGAATCCACAGCAAGGTACCATGTAAGGAAAGGCCAGAATGCAGGAAAAGCAGGAATGGAAGTCAGATAGTAAAGTATATGCAGGAGCAGACTTTGTACCTAAAAATCTGTAGGAATATATTAGGGCACTGAAAATTTTGACCTTGAAAGGAAAGGGGAACTCATTTAGCAAGCAGTATAATACAGACCAATGCTTAAATATAAGAATTACACTATTGGCAAAGAGCAAGAATAGAAGAGATTTAAAAGAAGAATAATGACATGCGAAGAAAGCAGTTTTAGGTGTCTTAAAATCATGAGTTCTATTTTCTGGCACATATTCAACAAAATCCTACTTATAGCCATCAGAAGATATGTGCGTGAATCTTCTTAGGAGGGCCTGGAAGCAAAAACTTGGAATAAACCATGAAGAGGAGATGGATGAGTTTATGCTGTACACACCCAGAGATACAATGAAACTTTACTAAGAGTACGGCAACATAGGAGATCATGGATGCAGAATGCTTATTCTCTGGCTGGGTAGACAGAGATATATTTTGGAAAACAAAGCTAGCAGGAGGCCATTGCCAAGGTCTGAACTTGGTCACATTAGTTAATGGGAAAAAAAGAAAAAGAAAAAAGACTTCACTAACTGTAATATTATATAATATGAGGGGTCTTCAAAATGTTCGTGGATTTATACTATCTTATAATTTCATTTTTCCATGAACTTTTTGAAGTAGTCTTGCATTTTTTAAAAAGAGAAACAATTTGGCATATTAAAATTTTGAAGGTAAGTCTCCTTGTTTTTATGTAAAAATAATCTTGTCTCTTTTGCTGGCTCCTGCATTACTGGAAATCACATCAGTGGACCTCTTTACATAAACTCTGGAATAAAGAGCATAAGAAGTGATGTTACCAAGATGGCAGAATAAAAAATGCTAGGCCCTCGTAACGCCATGGAGACACTGACTTAGTTTCGGGTAAACATATCTTTGGTATATCAGACTTTTGGAAAAATCTAGAAATCAGTAAAAAAGCTGTAGCACCCAAATTAACACCTAACCAATACAAAATTAAGCAACAAAGGGTAAGAAAGTCTGTGGAAATTTGCTTTTCTTTGCCCCACCGCCTCACCAGCACAGTGTAGTGTGGCTCCCTCACTATTTTCAAGATAGAAGAAAACAGTTAAACTTGTATCATCGTTCTGGCTTATCTGGTACCTGCATGACAGAATGGATTCTGTCTCATATGAGTGGGATTGTTGAAAGAAACAATGGCATAGTTTGTGTATCAGCTTGGATGCTACAAAAATATAAGCAGGTACTGTGATGAGTTAGAGCAGCATGGGTTCTCCAGTGCTAGGATGGTTGTGGGGGATGGGTGGAGAAGAGATTATAGGCTGAGAAATACAACAGATAGTGAAGATTTCTGAGAAGGAGCAGAGATAAGACTCTAGGAGAAAATGAAAAATTTTTTATTAGCCACATATGCTGGAGTAAATGCACATATGCACCACCAGTAAAAACATACAAGAAAAGAAAAACTATAGAACAATATCCCTGATAAATCAGACAAAATTCTCAAAAAAAAAAACCTTGCAAATTCAACAGCACACTGAAAAGATCATACACTATGTCCATGTGAGATTTATTTCTGGAATGCAAGGATGGTGTAACACAGGAATAACATCATATAATAACCCACAGTAACAAAATAAAGAGACAAATCATACGGTTATCTAGCTTGATGCACAAAAACATTTTTAAAAAGTCAACACTCTTTCATGATAAAAACACTCAACACACTATAGGAATATAAGCTACCTCAACATAGAAAAGACCACATGAGAAAAGCCCACAGCAATCATACTCAACGTTAAAGACCTGAAAGCTTTAGCTCTAAGTAAAAAAAAAAGACCAAGAAGCCCACCTGTGCTATTTCTATTCAACATAATACTGGAATCCTAGCAAGAACAATTAAACAAAGTAAATAAATAAAAGGCATGCACTGGAGAGAAGTAAAATGATCTCTGTTCACGAATGATATAATCTTACATGTAGAAAACACTAAAGATTCCACAGAAAAAAACTTTTAGAACTAATGAAGGAATATAGTCAAGTTGTAGAACTCTAAAACTATACCGAAACATCAGTTGCATCCATAAACACTAACAAAGAATGATCTGTGAAGAAAATTAAGAAAATAATTCCATTTACAATATCATCAAAAAAAAAATACTTATGAAAAAGCTTAAAAATAAGATGTATATACCAAAAACTACAAAATATTCCTGAAAGAAATTAGAGAAGACACATATAAATGCAAAGATACCCTGTGTTCACAGTTTAGAATACTTAATATTAAGAAGATGACAGTAATGCCCTAGTGATCTACAAATTCAGTGAAATCCCTACCAAATACCAATGGCCGTTTTTGCAGAAATAGATAAATCTACCCTAAAATTTATATGGGATCACACTGCATCCTGAATAACAAAAGAAACTTAAAAAACAACAGAGGTGAAGGTCTTATACTGCATGATTTCAAAATTTATTATAAAGATACTATAATCAAAACATTGCTGTAATGGCATAAAGACATGTATTGACCAGGGGACTAGAATAGAGAAGCCAGAAATAAACCCTCACATACATCATCAAATAATGTTCAATAAGGATGCTAAGACCATCCAATGGGGAAAAGACAATCCCTGCAACAAACAGTGCTGGGATAACTGCTTACCCACATGCAAAAGAAATAGCTGGATCCTTACTTTACACCACAGACAAAAATTAATCAAAATAAACCCATGATCTAAATTGAAGACCTGAAACTATAAAATTCCTAGAAGCATAGCTGAAAAGCTTCATGACCTTAAACTTGAAGACGACTTACTAAATATGACACCAAAAGCACAGGCAACAAAAGTAAAAATAAATAGAATGGCCTGCCAAAAAAATTAAAAACGAGTGTGCACCAAAGAAACCAACCAACAGATTGAAGATAAAAACTACAAAATGAGAGAAAATACTGGCATGTCATATATCTGATACAGGGTTAATATCCAGAATATATAAAGAACCCTTACAAGTTAATAACAACAAAAAACAGAACACCAAATATAAAAAAAGAAACTGACTAGACATTTCTCCAGAAGTAATACACAAATGACCAACACTATATGAAATGATGTAAAACAACACTAATCATTAGAGAAATACAAATAAAAACCACAATCAATCATCTATGGCCTCACACCTATTAGGATGTTTACTGTAAAAAATGAAAGAAACTAAAAAGTGTTGGTGAGAATGTGGAGAAATTGGAAGCCTGGTGCACTGTTGGTGGGAATAAAAATGGTGCAGCCACTATGAAAAAAACTATAAAGTTTCCTCAAATAAATCAAAATTGAATGACCATATGAACGAACAATTCAACTTCAGGGTATTATACCCAACAGTATTGAAAATAAGATCTTGAACAGATATGTGTAAACCTATGTTCACAGCCATATTCTTCACAATAGCCAAGAGATGGAACCAACCCAGGTGTCCACCACAGATGAAAGGATAAAAAATGTGTTATTTACATAAAATGAAACATTATTCAGGTTTAAAAATAAGGATATCCCAATACAGACCACAACATATGGATGAACCTTGAGGACATTATGCTGTGTGAAATAAGCCAGTCATAAAAAGACAATGTGATTCTACTCATGTGAAGTATCTAAAATAGTTGATTTCATACATATGGAAAGTATAATGGTACTTTCCAGGAACTGGAAAAAGAGGGAAACAGGGAAAAGGTGAAGTTTGAATACTCATGGAAATCAGTTGAATCTAAATTAAAACATCAAGAAAAATATGGTATATTTTAACTCTGCTAAACTCATACAATGTAAAATATTATCAGAGTTATATGACAAAATTTAAAATATGAGGTCAAGGGTAGCACTACTATATATATATTAGTAGATATATAGTTGTTAGTATGAATGAATAAAAATTAATGTGCACTTATCCAAAATGAATGAATTTGACCTGGTAATTTTCACAAGAGAACACGTCATGTTACAGAAAAATTAAGTAAATGACCCACGGTGGGGAATGGCTTATACTGAAGGTCATTGTTAGTAGCAGAAAAGTGCAGATACATTTCCTGGCAGTAGTGTGGAGACCCACAGAGGAGGTCGTCAGCAACATAACTAGCAAATAAGAGCCAGAAAACACCAGGACAGCCCCAGGAGATGGGCTCACAGTGACCAGGGCAACTCAGATGGACAGAAAGCCAAGCAACAGTAAAGTATTCACATGAAGACTGAAGAATACAATTTGTAGAACTTTAAAAATTGTGCAGAAAATTCAGGTGATACAAACAACAGTGGAGAAGAAGTCCATGAAATGCAAGCAATGGGCTAAGCTTCCTGTAAAACATACTAAGACATTTAAATATTTATTTAGTACACCAAATTGGACATGGTGCCACTAGAATCTAAACAGGGAGCATAACTGTTAGAACACAGGGCTGGTTCCGAAACAAAAATTCAGTAAAATTAAACAAAACCCAGCAAGTTATGTTTACAAAAATGAAAACATACTATAGAAAAAGGAATGTATCTTAAATAAATTAACCGTCACACACAGGAAAGAAAATGTGGCATGAACTTTAGTCAACAGCCTCATATATAAGCGGCTGTGAACTTGAATGATATTCCCCCTAGGAGAAATTCCTACACCACTAATTGCTGGCTCAAAGAAGATAACCATTAGTACATGTGATCAACGCTGTAACAGTGCCCTTGACAGACACGCTGGTGGTGCAGCTGAAAAATCAGAACTGGAAACACTTATCACTCAGGCTCTCCTGATACTTTCTATGTCACTATCCTGGGACATGCTGATAACCACTCATTGGCTTCAGGGAGCATCTCTTTATGTGGCAGGATGATATGTAAACATATTAGTCAAAACATTTCCTTCAAAAATTTTCTGTTATCAAGTAAACCTACTCCATACTGGAGTCTACAAGAAGTTACCTCTAACATAAAAGTGGGTTATCACAGCAGAAGAAAAGAATGACATATCAGACCCTAGCAATGTGTATATTAAAAGCAAGTTTCAAAGCAAAATCATGCAAACATAAAGGAATATGAAATCAGGAAAAGCCAATTCACATTCACAGAGTAGTAAGAGCAGTAGAAGAGAGAGAAAAATGCAACATTAGGGTGTTAAGAGTTGGAGGGATCTCGAGACGGGACTCTGTGCTCTCCCACAGACCCCACATTAAGAGATTGAAAAACTGACATATGCTCCCAGTGTAGGACTGGGGATGAAAGAGATGACCTTTCTGTCAGCTGTTTTCACACCTTTGCTGAGTAACAATCTCAGACAATCCAACCCACTGCTTTGTTACACACACCCAAGAATTGTGAAGAAAACAGCACAGAAGAAATGCCTGAGAGACCTCAGAAGGCAGAGAGGACTTAATACAGCTCCGTGTAGTTTCTAGGGCCCCACATGCAATAGAGAAGCAGCCAATTCCCAAGAACAGGAAATGGGATGAAACATGGACTGGTCCAAGTATCAGGACTATAGATGCCTCAGCTCAAATCTACATGAAAAGCAAACTGAGTATCAGATAAAATTGAGCACAGAAGGAACGACCAAGTGAGAAGACAACCCTTGCACTGAAATGGACGTACCAATACCCCTCAGAGTGAAGAAACCAGAGTTCACAGAAGTCACATAACAAAGTGTTGTCTGTCGTAATAAAGACTTTGCATTTGTCTGTTTGAGCTGCAGCACCACTAGAAGGTGAAAGGATAAACTATCACACATCTGAGGAATAAAGTGATAATAAAAGAAAAAGGGAAATTTCNAACAGGAAATGGGATGAAACATGGACTGGTCCAAGTATCAGGACTATAGATGCCTCAGCTCAAATCTACATGAAAAGCAAACTGAGTATCAGATAAAATTGAGCACAGAAGGAACGACCAAGTGAGAAGACAACCCTTGCACTGAAATGGACGTACCAATACCCCTCAGAGTGAAGAAACCAGAGTTCACAGAAGTCACATAACAAAGTGTTGTCTGTCGTAATAAAGACTTTGCATTTGTCTGTTTGAGCTGCAGCACCACTAGAAGGTGAAAGGATAAACTATCACACATCTGAGGAATAAAGTGATAATAAAAGAAAAAGGGAAATTTCCTTTCAGAACTCACAGGATATAAACTTGTTTTCCCACAGACCTCTCCCACTTGCAGACTTTCCCAAAAACTACTTAATGGTGCAGCTTTCTCTCTGCCCATCTGAGCTCTTACCTGTGTTCCCACCTTTGATCCATTCCCTCCCCTTTGGTTTTCTTGCTATTTTCACTTGGATCTCCACAGTCCAGGGCTCTTTCCCTTGCTCCATCATGGAGATAATATTCAGGTCAGGAAGAGTGTTTCCTGCTTATAAAATGAAATAAACATGACATGCTGTGGCTTTTTCAGAACCCCAGCCCTCTGAGTGAGGAGACAGGACATTACAGGTAGACCTAAAAA